GTGTGTCTTTACCTCCGCGGCAGAGGCTCCGCCGAACCCCTGGGGTTCGATCGAACCCAGGTTAAGAACCACTGTATTAGAGAACTAATAATAAGAGATCATGTAGGGAAACCAACTTCTACTTTTTTTGGGACAATACCTTTAATAATATTTGCTGGAAAGATGTTTGGTTATTGCTGAAGAAATATTTAATAACTAATAAGACTCAATTAGTGTCTCTAAAGATTCTGCATAGATGTTATCCTGTTAGCAGTAAAATATTTAGATCTGGGGTGTATGGTATCACCCAAATGTAGACCCACTGTGTTCATTTTGCCACAACTGTGAGGAAACCATCACTCATCTTTTCTGCAACTGCTCTTACATTCAAATATTTTTGGAAAGATTTTTTTCTTTTCCTAAAAAGAAAATTGAAAATAGACATACCATTTAATTTTAAAACTATGTTGTTTCTTCCGTTTCAAAAGTCTGTTATAAACGCAATATTAATTTTAGCAAAATTTAATATCCACAGCTGCAAATTTCTTAAGCTAATAGTCAAATTTTAGCTTAAGAGGCACACACTATAAGTTTCTGCCTATTTGTATTCTCTGAAGTACTATGCCAATACTAAAGTATAAAAAAAAACTATTTCAATTAGTACAGAATTTCTCATGTAATCTGCCAGAATTTTCTGGATTTAACCTTTTCCTGCTTGTAATTTTGTTCTTTGCCTGCCTTAAGCCCCGTCATACTTTCACTCACCATTTCTGTTTTTGTAATTTGTTGTACATATTTTGTGTAAATATAGAGAGGGGGAGGGGACTTGATGCTCCTTTTTTTGGTTGAACTATAAGAGTTTTGATTGCTGGAAACATGAACATTGTGCGCAGGGCCTGAAGACTAACGATGTAAGACATGTCATGTCCCTGTTAGTTAGCGCTTACTAACCCACCTCCGAACTGAGCCCACAACAAGCCATTTTAAGACACAAGTAGTGGTCACGTACTTGCATTTAAATTTGGGCCACGTCGATCATTTCCGATTGCCTCTTGTTCCTATTGCTTTTAGTGATAGCTGAAAGAGCTGTAATATTATAGACATGAATACATGTAATGTGATCATGATACATAGGTTAAAATATCTGTGCACTACTGGTACAACAAATTTTTGTTGTGTTCCGTTGTAGGTACAGTAGAATGAATTTTTTTTTTTTTAAATTTTCATGTTGATATCAAGGCAACAAAGGATCATGGCTATCCGCAGGGAAAACTTACCCGCCCAGCATTTTAAACTTGAGGATACTGAAGATTCAGCGGAAGATGGCGGTTAAAAAAGGAAGCTGTACTTGCTTCATTCATTGGAATAATTTGTTGGAGGAAAATCATGATCTCCGGGAGGGAATCCGCCACTTGGGCAACAGGTTGAAAGAGGCAGCGATTCAGCACAAGGTAAGTCAGTGTGTGTGTTGATGTATATGTTTGTGTTGGAGTATGAAATTATTTTAGGCAACTCTTCTATGAGTTTTATCTGAAAACAAAAACTCCTTAGTGTTTATATTACAGATTAGATCAAATGCACTTAATATGCAACCGGAACACCCATCCTATACCTAAGGCAGCATCACTTCCACCGAAAAATTATTCTCACATTCCATTCTACCAAAACGGGGCAACACGGTTAACACAAGTAGCCTGTCAAAAATCCAAAAGTTCAATGTCTTCTCTTTACAGTCGTATAAGTATCACCACTCCACATAAAAAATCCACAGAACAAGCAGCCTACGAATAGTAAAGGGTTTATTTCTTGAATCCCTAAATATAGTATCGTACCTTTGCCGTTTCATAATTATAATAAATGTTGAATGAGTCAATTTTTCCACTTGGCTGCTATAATCTGTTATCCTTAGTGATTCCTCTTTTTTGTCTTCATTTTTGTGTCACTTAGAAAAATGAAGCTATCAAGTTACATCACCCTGCTGTTTTTTTCTTATTGAAATGTAAATTTAGGTTTGCCTGGACTTTTATAAACTAATACCTCTGTGCTTCATTTTTTGTATTAATGTTGTTACANATAATAGGCAAACCCTGTATTGTGTTTGTTAGTAGTTTAAGTTGATTTGAGCTACATACTTTCAAAAGAATATTCAGATATTAACATGCATTTTCAAAGTGGTAAATATTTCAGTTTGCTCTTACTTAGTAACTTCAGTTCAGGAACTGTTTCACTTAAACATTTAATTTCCTGATATATTGTCAATTTATTTTGAAGCAGAACTCTCAAAAAGTTTACCTGGTTTAGGGTTTATTGGATTTTGACTACATTGTGTAGTTAAATATGAACACTTACTGGTATTTATTTTTTAAAATGTTTTTCAGGTTTGCATAAAAAAACATCCTGTTGTGTTTCTGGGCCATGATTGAGCCGCTCTTCCGTCTAAGGAGTTCACCCAGAACAGAGACAAACTCCCATCAACTCCACTCCATCAACCCATTGAGATCCTGTTGTTAAAATTAGTTTGTTCTTGGATCCAAGCACCTG